GGGTATCGATTCAAATTTCCAGAATCGATTCGATTCCGATTCTTGGGATTTAGAATCGATTATCACTATCTAATCCGATCGATTCCGATCCGATATCGATTCAATTCAGGTCATCAATTTAAAAACATTTTTGCAGTTACCTTAATTCCATTGTGTAGTATATTGATAATATTGACATTCAACGATACATTAATGAAATATTGGCTATTAAAAACGGTTGTAAGCACCAGTTCCTCTCCAAGAATGTCAAGTGTTTCCAGTGTTTTCTAGGACATCATTAAATTCAGATGTTAGGAATTCAGCCAAATGCTATTGCTGTTGAAAGCAAATGCCATTTTTATTCAAATAAGTTTCACCATATGAAAAAAGATATTATTTGCCAGTGCAAATGTAAACAGAAACAGAAAGCTTAAAATTAACTGCTTTGGTTTTACTTTGTGCAAATAGAAATTAAAAGGTACAGAACCTTAAACAACTGTTTCACAGTCTTGTGCAAAAACTTAAACACTTCAAGTATCCAGAAACATTCATATTAATGTACCAACAAAACTGAACAGGAAATTAAACTTGACTAAAGACAGACTGTGTAAACTGTCCTCTTATGAACATCACTTGGGAATGGTAAGATTCTTCTGCAGGAAAAGTAGCTGATTCACACGTCCAGGGGTGAGACAGCTTCTTTTTGCAGTGATTATATCACCTGCAGTTGAAAAAACCCTCTCAGATGCGACACTGGTCCCAGGGACACAGAGATATCGCTTAGCCATGCGAGCCAAAAGAGGATACTCTTTTTCATCTTCTCTCTCCACCAGACCAGAGGATTGTCCTGCAGGTCTCCTCGCCCTGTACCTCTTGATCTCATCTTCTGCCACCTCTGCAAGAGTTTTCTTTGCATGTCCCCTCTCCTCTCTTGGTATGTAGGCTTCCCCAAGGAGAGACTCCAAAGCACTGGATTGCTTGGGGTTAGGTGCAGGGGGGTTGTTTTCCTCCTCTTCCTCCATTTCATCAACTTCATCTTGCTGCGTGAGAGAGAAGAAATACTTATATGTGTTGTTGTGCAACAATAGGCTTCGGTTTGGCTATGAATAACTTAACACATAACATAAATCTGTCATTTTGATCTAAACTATCAAGTCAGACAACCACTTGGATATCAGGAAAAGTGTTCAGTCTTGGTTCTTAGAGTTGTGTATTTTTTGAAGGTTACAATAGCTTACTGCCTTGTGTATTTGAGTGTAGTCTTATTATTTCTCGTTTTCTCCAAGGATATGTGCTGCTGTAGCGAATTAACTTCCCCACTGTGTGATTAATCAGAGTATATTCTATCATCTATGAATGCCTGCCTGCTCAGGCTGATATTTAAAATATGATAAAATATTTAAATATTTAAAAAATAAAAACATTAAAACATGTGTTTCTGAACAGTAAGAAACTGCACATTTATAATTGGAATAAACACAAACAACTTCTCCCTGATAGGTAAGAGTTTAACAAATAATATACTTCTATCAACAAACTCACTAACCTAGTAGCACTCAACGAAGATACTACTACTAAATATGAAAGAATAAATGAAAACTAAAATAAAAAATATACAAATAAGAATAAAACCAATAACATGTTGTGAAAACCAGGTTTAATAGGATGATTTCAGAAAATAGGCAAAATTAGCTTTCAACTAATTCAGATCAGACTTCACCAGAATGTGTGTGTGTGTGTGTGTGTGTGTGTGATCAATTACATGGTAGTATTTGCTTGGATTTTTTTTTTCACAAGGCTTCTTATTACTTACATTAGATGCTTCTTCCTCCATCCCACCCACTGCCTCAGCCTGGAGAAGGTGTGCTCTCGCTCCTCCTCACCCAGAAATGGCAGGGCTTTGAAGCGTGGATCAACAGCTGAGGCGGCATGCAGCATGGCCGTCTGATTCACATACGTGAAATATAAATGTCACACATTTAAATCTATGCAATTAGGGAGATAATATTTTCTTAAATTGTTTAATTAAATACACAATATAACCTATTTTCTCTCTCACACACACAAAATAGGCCTACCTTGTGCTCAGGTTTTTCTTGATCTCATTCTTCATATCCTTAACAACTTTGGAGTCTTCTGGGAGGCTGGTCATCTCCTTCAGCAGCAGAGCATGCAGGAGTGCCATCACTGAGAGAGTTGGTGACTTTTCTTCTGACATGACTTCAGTAGCTTTTTTCATTGGCTCCACTACTTTCATTAGCCGCTTGAAGCCCTCGTTTTCAACGACAGAATATGGGCGCATATTCTTGCAAATGAAGCCCGCTATCACCTCAGTTTTTTTGTGAGAACGTGTAGAATTAGCCGGTAGTTGTAGTGATTCCTTGAATTTCATCTGCTGCAGACCAGCGGACGGCTTGCACGCAAGATCTTGGTGATGTCGCAAAATGCGATTGTTGAGATTGGTTGTATTTCCGCAATATTTCACCTCCATTTGGCATGCCTTGCAAATCACTTTGCTTTTGTCAAGCTGACCTTTCTCTTTGTCCGTTCTGAAACCAAAATGCTGCCAGACCGAAGCTTTAAGAGTTTTTGGTGTTTTCAAATCGAGCGCATGGCTAACGTCGCTGCTAGTATCCGACGCCATTTTAAAAAAATATCTTCACACCTAGCACGCATGCGTTAATTCAGTCACATGACGGTGGGCGGGAGAAGGTCGCTGCACCATATTAACCCTTTATCATCACCCACGCCTCTGAACTTCTTTTATATTTTAGCTGTACAAGAGCCAGACACTGTTAAATGGTTAAATCGATCTTTGGACGTATGACTCGATCTTTATGAATTTATATATGAATCGATTCAGAATCAGAGAATCGATTTTTTCAACACAGCCATGCCATATGCTTGATTTTGTGAAAAAGCATAATAAAATGTGTTTTTTAGTTGGATAAACACATTCCTCATTAGAAATACTGTGAATGCACTGGGGGCAAATGGAGACCCATCCAAGATGGCAGCCAACTACTACGGCAGCTCCAATAGGCAGCGCCAGTCCACAGGGAGTCTTTGTATATGTCTGTGGTTGCTGCAGTCTGCTCGACCCTCTGTCAAGGATGTTTGAGTGGAGTGGGCCGCCAACAACTGAATGCAGCACAACCACCTCCCCTGGAGCACACCTACTGTTTTAGGATTCTTCAGAACTCACAGAAAATCTGTCTGCCTCTGGTAATGCATTAGCTTCCTTCTTAACACATTTTCACATATTTTAGTTGGAGAAAGATCCACTAAACCAAGTCTTTGCACATGAGTGCACAGGCATCAAGCAGCTAAAAAAAAAGAAGTTAGGAGGTCTCTACTGCGCCATATCATCCCCAGAACTCCTATATGTCCTTTCACCAATGCTATGTTCTCTCACTCAAACCAGGAACATCAGTGTCCTGTCTTCATTGATTCAGGGGCACACACAGAATTTATGGACACTGATATTGCCAAGTCTATTGGGTTGAGTTTACACCCCATTTCCAAAACACAGGAAGTACAGGCCATAGACGGTCACCCCATGTCACCCATGAAACGGAACCAGTGAGCATGAGACTAGGAGGCAAACATATTGAAAATCTCTGCTTCCTGCTCATCAATTCCCCTGATATCCCAATCATTTTGGGGATTCCCTGGCTCTGAACCCACAACCCACATCTCGACTAGTGTAAGGGGGAGATTTTAAGTTGGTCTGACCAACGTCTGTCTAAATGTTTTTCCAATGCATCATCATGTACTCTATGTAGAACTTCCAAGAAACCTATCCTCACCTCTCCAAAGTTCCCCCAGATTACCATGACCTGAAAATGGCTTTCATTAAACACTGAGCCACCATGCTGCCTCCACATTGCCCATATGAATGTGCCATTGATATCCTCCCAGGTACCACTCCCCCCAGGGGGCATTTGTTTTCCCTCTCTGTCACTGAACAAACGGCCATCTTATTATCAAAATGCGTCTTTAAAATTCACAGACATCATATGTGAAATCCATGGCACAAAACAAGCGGAGTTAGACAATAGCGTTTTTAGCCCCGTTGACTTGCATTCATTTTTTTGTTCCTCTGTGAACCCGTGGTCCAGAAGTAGATGGGTGTGACTTAGGCGTTATGCCACCTGCTTTGCTTTAATTGCAATACAACAAAACTAAAACAGAAGTGATTCTCTACTTTAGTTAACACACTGCTATTTTACATACTGATATCAGTTTAAAAGTCCAAACTCTCACAGTCAATCTGTGTTCACAATCAGTCACTAACTTTAGAAAATATAACCAAACATTCAAATTATTTGCATTTGCTCATACCAAGACATAGGGCTGGGCGATATGGCCTAACATCAATATCACCATTTACTCCTATAGAGAAACCTTACATAAACAAGCGCGTGTACACACACAGGTGCTCACATGGTGCTCTCAAAAGTATGGGCTTGGGCACGTTAAACACAGGTCTTAAGGCCATGGTGGGCACTTAATGCACTGCGATTTATTATCGTGTGATTGTTCAGTAAAACAATGTTGATTTTATATTTCATCATCAAGTTGACACAGTGATAGCTTGATCTTGTTGTATTGTTGTTGTGTCCCTTTTTTTTTTTGTTCCTTTGCTTTTTTTTCTTGTCTCTTTCTGCAGGTCTAGAAGCAGACTCTTGTTTATTATTGTTTATTTTTGTGGACCCCCCCCCCCCCCCCCCCCCCTCAGGATAGATGCACCTAATACATATCTTACTTTACTTCACTGTTCTGGTGCTGAGAATATCACTAATGCGGATCAAAGGAGATACACAGATGAATGCACCTCTTATTTATTATTTGGAAACTACATTTACTGCAGCTGGCAGAGGCAGATATTTTTTCTATTGATACACGGAATTTACAGAATCATTTTAAATTTTAATAGGGGAAGACGTCAGGAGGGAGCGGTAAAATACAGGGGGTCCCCAGCAAAAACAAGAAACTACGAGTCTGATGAAACCCGCTGGTTTTCCATCAGGCAGTCACGGGGCAGCTCCAACGACCCAGTGGCTGTGCTGGGTCAATGTTATCGAGCTCAGTCCGGCTCGGCCGTGAACGAGCCGAGGCGACGTCGTGCTCTGTTATTTTCCCGCTTCAGAAGAAGCGTCCAACGTGTTTTTACGCTTTCTCCGAGACATGTCACGTTGCTAAGTTGTGCGCGCTAACACGTCAATAGTGCAACGTAGCCTGCTGGAGGTTTTAAGGGTTCAGATGAAAACACCCGACCTCTCAGGCTGCTCACACATCGATCTTAAGTTGTCGCTATTGCGCTCACGCCGTAATACAGTATTAGATGCGGTTAAAGTCAGACATGACAAAATAAATTTTACATGAATAAGTGATGCTTAGCCTGGTGGGGGGAGGAAAACCTGTCAAGATCGTATCAACCCCGTATCACTGGACTGAATGATTACAGGCCTGTGGCGCTGACGTCTGTAGTCATGAAGTCTTTTGAGCGCCTGGTCCTCCCCCCTCCTGGACCCTCTGCAGTTCGCATACAGAGCTAATAGGTCTGTAGACGACGCCATCAACCTGGCCCTCCACTTCATCCTGCAGCACCTGGACTCCCCGGGAACCTACACTAGGATCCTGTTTGTGGACTTCAGCTCTGCGTTCAACACCATCCTCCCTGCTCTGCTCCAGGACAAGCTCTCCATGCTCAATGTACCCAACTCCACCAGCAGGTGGATCACTGACTTCCTGACAGACCGAAGGCAGAGCGTGCGGCTGGGGAAGAATGTTTCCACCATTCAGACTATTAGCACAGGATCTCCACAGGGCTGTGTACTTTCTCCTCTGCTCTTCTCCATGTACACAAACTGCTGCACCTCGAGCTATGACTCCGTTAAACTGATCAAGTTTGCGGACGACACCACCCTCATCGGGCTCATCTCTGACGGTGATGAGTCCGTCTACAGGAGGGAGGTGGAACGGCTGGTGTACTGGTGCAGCAGCAACAAGCTGGAGCTCAATGCTCAGAAGACAGTGGAGATGATTGTGAACTTCAGGAAAGTCACAGCCCCATCTCTCCTCCTCGTCCTGACTGACTCCCCCGTCACCACTGTGGACTCCTTCCGCTTCCTCGGAACCACCATCACACATGACCTTAGGTGGGAGCCATCCATCAGCTCCCTGCTCAAAAAGGCCCAGCAGAGGATGTACTTTCTGCGGCAGTTGAAAAAGGCCAAGCTGCCGGCCCAGATGATGGTGCAGTTTTACACGGCCATCATTGAGTCCATCCTCACCTCCTCCATCGCTGTGTGGTACGCTGGAGCCACGGTGAGGGACAAACATAGACTGCAGCGCATTGTGCGCTCTGCTGAGAAGGTGATTAGCTGCAGCCTTCCATCTCTCCAGGACCTGTACGTCTCCAGAACTCGGGGGTGTGCAGGTCGGATAGCAGCTGACCCTTCTCACCCGGGTCACAGACTTTTTGAGCCGCTCCCCTCAGGCAGGAGGTTACGGTCCATCCAGACCAGAACCTCCCGCCATAAGAACAGCTTCTTTCCATCTGCTGTTAGACTTGTGAATAGATTATAAACACACAACCATGCTCGTCTTCTGTACTCGACACAACGTCACGTTATCGGCCATGTTACCATTACCTACCATTTTTTATAGCTGAAAGTTTCTTTCTATTTTATTCTATTTTTAATCTTATTATTCATGTTATATGTAGCACATTAGTACCAAAGCAAGTTCCTAGTTTGTGAATTGTTTGTTCACTGACAATGGCAATAAACCTATTCTGATTCTGATTCACCCCTACCAAGACGCACCCAGCAGCAGCGATGATGTCAACTGTAAAATATGTTATTCACAATTGAAATGCAACAATTAAAATCATGATCCAAAGTAGCCCCTCCCACACAAAAGAGGGTGCTTCAGGACATAATTTGCATCGACTAGAAAATCAAAATGCAACTCACACGAGCTCTGAGACCCAAAATTAGTTCAGCTCGCTGCCTTATGGAGAGAATTTGAGGGACGATCTCTGTGACCCTGAAGACAAATTCCTCAAGCAGGCCATAGTCCAACACCACTTTCTGCTCCACCGTCTGCCAGATGGCAGCAGACACCAACCGAATGGGTGAGACCAGAAGGCGTAGTGAAGAGATGGAAAGAGTGGAAGCTGTGGAGAAGAATACATTAGGTAAAAATTTAGGAAAGTTGAAATCTCATCTGTAAAAAAAAATTTAAAACAAGTACAACTAAATCAAGTTTAAAATTAAAGCTCTAGAACTTCTTCAGTGATTTTAGACAAATCTACCTAGCACAAAAATTTTGGTGGTTTGTTATTTGCACAATTTCATCACAATTAGCTATTATTGTCCACAGATCTTATGTACCAAATCCCAACTTGATTAGAAAAATTGATGGAGTGGTCACTAGAACTGATTTGCGGCTCTTGCAATATGAGAAGTAAATCTAGCTAAGCAAAAATGTGTGCATCCTTGATCAAGTGATGCAAATTCTTTGAATTAATCATTTAGTGTAGGTATTGGTGGATTTTGTTCTGCTAAACTGGAATGTTTTATTTTTTTTTTTTGACCCAGGCATTTTTGGTTGAAACAAAAAATAATCTTACTTTAACAGAAAAAAAAACACAATTTGAGCTCGGACCTGCTGGGTCGGGTGTGTCACAGATGCGCTCCAAGCAACTCTTTAGCAGTGAGATGGGGATAAAGTGTGAAATAATGCCCAGAAGCGCTGATGGAAATAATTTCTTGATCGTTACCTCCTCAATGTTCTGTGTGTAAAGTGTAAAATATCTGCACATCTGCTTGAGTCATTAACAAACATACTCACAGCCAAATAAATAAACAAATTGCCTCTTGTAAAGACAACTGTAACAGCTCAGATCATTGTTGATGGTTGAATAAGTTGTCACATCACCACAAATGTGAACTGATGTTCGTCCTCAGCTTACACACCAGAACTTTTCACGCTTGTGTTTCTGTATCATTTGACTTCCCTTGTTTTTATACTTAACTTTGTTCTATTTTAATTACTATCTTTTGAAAAGATTAAAAAAAATTGTACTTGTAAAGCACCTTGTGATTTTTGTCTAGAGGCACTATATAAAACCCGTTTATAAAGTCCAAAAAAGTCTCCTTTAACATTGTGCATCACTGTTTAATTCAACCTTTTCCTATAAACCCTTGATATAAAATAGATGTTGATTAGAACCACGTGGATTAGCCCTGAAACACTTAATTTCCTTTCTAAACATAATTTATCCACCTCCAAGTGTCTGTCATACATACTGCTATGTTCACAAATGCCACACGGGTTCAGTCCGATGCGCCTGCGATGCTTGTTGAAGACACAAAAAGGGAAATATGACCAGATACGTTTCTGACTGTGTTTGAACATTTGGAGTTCACTCGAAAACGCAGTTTAGGGCACTTCCTACCCTAGCATTGTAGCGCTAGTTAGCTACGCTCCGGTAACTCATCATCGGTAATGTAACCGCCACGGTTATTACCTCACATGCATCTGGTACAGCACTAGGTGCTACAGGAAGCAATGCATTATTCAAATACCGCTTCAGAAAGGCTTAGATTAAAACGTGATTTACGGTGTTGTTAGCAATGCTATTCCCGCGCGCGGGTTGCGGTGCGGCCTAGCCAAACAAATAACTCTGTTGCCGTTTCACTCACCTGGTGACTCGAAAATAGCTCCATCCATTCTGAATATTTATCTCTCTTACATTACACTGAGTAGATACTAATTATGTTGATTTACTAAAGTTAACCTGAATATTTTCTGAAGTTTCCTCGAGCGATTTCTCCTCTTCAACACAACGGATACTCCGGGTTCCGTCTAAAACAACAGTCCGACTTGAAGCAAAGACATTATAATTTCGTTCTGCATTTTAATGTTTAGCTGTTCTCTGTGATTTCAGTCATTCAGTCTGACTTATACTCAATTTTATATGTTTAATGGACTTAGATTTTGAATTTAATTAAGTGTAAGCTAAGCTCCAAGACTTGCTGGTAGTGACTTTTAGTGTCTCTTCTTCCGGTCATGGGTCCTGGGCCTGCCGGACAGGCAGGGCCCTTTTTGTTCTTCAACAAACATAACGGTCTCTTTATTTTTATTTTTATTAGGGTTCCAAGCCCAAAGGGCAGGGAACCCTATTGTTTTTCTACGGATTTTTCATTATTTATTATTATTTATTATTATTCTTCTCCGCTAAAAGTATATGGGCGCAAGAGCCTGAAATTGCCAGGGAAAATCTGACATGGCAGTCTGATAGAAAATCCTGACCGCTACTCAGATTCGAAAATTTGGACCCCGCGTCACCTAGGTGGCGCTATTGCGGAGGTCAACACGTTTCAGCTACTAGCTCCCAAACCGTAGGTCCTACAGTCAAAAACTTTATATGTACATGATCCTTGGATGATTCTCCATCTTTTATGTATTGGCCACGCCCATTTCCGCCTAACTAGATTTTTTGCTAGATCACAAAAAATGCAAAACTTAGTTTTAATCACCTATTCGACATTTTTCGTCGAATCAACTTCAACCTTCGTACATATGATCTGTGGACTAAGATAAGATCTTGTGATGAAGAAAAATGCAGAAATACTGAAAATTGGGCTAATAACGCCATGTCAAATTCAATGCGCTAGCTAGCACATGTGATAATTGATGAT